AACAGGGATTTCACGTCAACAATAACTTAATTGCGGTTATTGGGAATAATTCTGCACCATCTTTGGGCGACTGAATGAGAAACACTCACTAATTATCGTCTCAATACGGGATATTCTTAACACTCGGATATTGTTTGTAACACGTCACTGTTTTTTGTTTTCCTTGTTTTCACAAAACACTGACGTCTTGGTATGTAGACTGATAATCATCCATCACCACCGTTGCTGCAATTCCTGATGTGTAAATCACCGTATCTTCCGCTATCGATGTAAGTTTGGTAGTGCTACACTCTGAGTAGTGACCCATCGAGGGAGAACGGAATAGGTACATCGTTCCCCTCGAGGGAAGACAGAGCCATCCACTGCGGCTCTCAAATAACGTCTTCCTCTAGTCAAGGATATCAAACTACTGCTCGCTTCAGGTGGCCAGAGAGCCGGCTACTTATGCCTTTACTCAGCATAGTATGACGCAGCTTCCCGTGGGCACACCTTATCACGTGCATTGAACATGTCACCTCATAGCCAGTTTAAAGTTACAGGGATGAATCTCAATATGAATCAGATGTAAATAACCCATTTATATAATACTTCTGTTGATGAGACAGGGGCCATTACAGGACGGGTGAGGGACGGGTGAGGGAGGTGAGAGAGGTGAGGGACGGGTGGGAGAGGTGAGGGAAGGGTGGGAGAGGTGAGGGAAGGGTGAGGGAGGTGAGGGACGGGTGGGAGGTGAGGAGGGTGAGGGACGGGTGAGGGAGGTGAGGGCGGGTGAGGGAGGTGAGGACGGGTGAGGGAGGCGAGGGACGGGTGGGAGGTGGCGGAGGGACGGGTGAGGGGACGGGTGAGGCGAGGGAGGTGGGACGGTGTGGGACGGGTGGGAGGTGAGGGACGGGTGAGGGAGGTGTGGGACGGGTGAGGGAGGGTGTGGGACGGGTGGGGTTGGTAGGTGGGGGTGGGGAGGTGTGGGACGGGTGAGGGATGGATGAGGGACGGGTGAGGGAGGTGAGGGACGGATGAGGGAGGTGTGGGACGGGTGAGAGAGATGACGGAGGGACGGTTGGGGAAGGTGAAGGACGGGTGAGGGAGTTGAGGGATGTGTGAGGGAGGTGAATTGAATTGAATTGAAACAGTTTATTTAGCCAGAAAAACACAGATACAGAGTGGATAATAATAACAATATTAACATGGCTGAGCCAGTTGACAACCTGAGCTCTCTTGTAGGCACCTGATATATACTGTACTTTTATTTCAAGGAAGTATTATGTAACATTTAGTATCATCTGGAACAGTACAATAGCATGGTGGTAATAAGAACATCTCATAATGTTACCACGGTTATCACTTCAATATTTACTTATTTTATTTTTCTATTTTTTTTTTAGTTTATTTTTTTATTTATATTATAAATATATACATAAATTACAGTAGAATTAAAAAAAAACATAAGTATAATGGGGGAGCAGTACAACATGGGTTGTACAGTATTAACATTGAACAAGAGGACAGAGCTGCCAGGATTATGTCTAGTTGACAAATATGTTTATTGCAATGGTAATTACTTATCTATTTACATAATAATTTCCGATAAAACAGTTTTGATAGTAGAATAAAAGCAGATATTGTAAATATAGTAGGTATTACAATAAATAATAATACTTAGATAACAGATATTTTTTAAGAGATGATTTAAAGGAAGGGAGGATAGTCTTTGCTCGGATGGATGGAGGTAAGTTGTTCCACACCTTCACACCATGATATGTCGGTCTGGGACTGAGAGGAGCGCATATGGGGGTGGTCTTAATAGCTCTGGGTGCCTTAAGTTGTAGCTTTGATTATTCCGGAACTGAAATTAATTATTGTCAAGCAAGTGATTGATAAATTTGTAAACAAAGAGGGCACAGCAGTAGGTGTTAGTATCTTCGAATTTTAACATTTTCAATTTAGCAAATTGTTCGTTTGTGTGATCTGTTTTTTTTTCAAGTAGGTCATTGTCCGTACAGCTCTCTTTTGTGCATTAGCCAGGGATTGTGTTTTTGAAGAGCCAGAGAATTTAAGATGTCATTAGTAAAGGATAGCAGAGCACTCTCAGTCGACCTTCTAGCTCTAAATCCAAACTGGAAGTCTGTAAAAATGTTATTGGCATTGCAGAATGAATTTAGCCTACTACATGCTAGCTTCTCCAGTATCTGACTCAAGGCTGGGAGGACTGATATGGGGCGGTAGCTCTTGAAGAGACCTTTGTCCCCAGATTTTTTATATGCCAGGTGGACTTTAGCAATTTTCAGTTTATCCGGAAAGACACCACTAGTGAAGGAGGAGTTACAAATGTGTAGGAGAACAGGTAGTAATAAGTGGGCTACTTTCTTAATGATGCTCATTGGTATAGTGTCTTCGCCTGCTGCTGCATCTTTGGACATTTTTATGATGGCCAGTAATTCATCTGCTGTGACAAGGGATAAGAACAGCTCATTTTGCTGTCTGTTTTGCAGGTAGGTGGTGAGAGACTGGTGAGGGAGGTGAGGGACGGACGGGAAGGGAGGTGAGGGAGGGACGGGTAGGGAGGTGAGGGACTGGTGAGGGAGGTGAGGGACGGACGGGAAGGGAGGTGAGGAGAGGGACGGGTGAGGGCGGTGAGGGACGGGTGAGGGAGGTGAGGGATGGGTGAGGAGGTGAGGCTGGGTGAGGGACAGGTGAGGGAGGGACGGGTGAGAAAGGTGAGAGGCGGTGAGAGAGGTGAAGGACGGGTGGGGGAGGGACGGGTGACGTAGGGACAGGTGAGGGACAGGTGAGGAGTGAGGGACAGGTGAGAGAGTTGAGGAGGTGACGTAGGGAAGGGTGAGAGGTGAGGGACGGTGAGAGGTGACGAAGGGACAGGTGAGGGACAGGTGATGGAGGTGAGGGAGGCGACGGACGGACGGGTGAGGAGGTGAGGGACGGGTAAGGGAGGTGAGGGATGGGTGGGGGTGAAAGGATGTGAGAATAATTACATGCAGCTTCCTGGGACACTAAAATGCCCCCAGTAACTCTTCCTGTGAGGGGTGAGGGTGTGGGGGCGGGTGTTAGGGTAAGGGGGTCGACCTCCTTGCTTGGCCTGGCCTAGATTGTGATGTATATTGGTGAGGGGGGTGGTAGGGCGGGTTGGTAGGGGGGGTGGTAGGCGGGTTGGGCTTTATCCTGACACAAGGCACTCACTCGTGTGTTGGTCTGGGTGAGTTAGTTGTTGTTTCAGGTGTAAAGTTAATGATAGCTCACACACCCCCCGGGGATGAGTCCTCCATGATCACAAACGGCTCACCAGCTAGTCTTGGTGAACTATTTTTATTTATTCTGGTGATGCCACTAATTTTATTTTGTTTTTCTAGGTTTAATTAACACGAGTAATAATGGGGAAATAGTTTTTTATATATATTGACTAAGTTATGTTATCACACCGTAGAAAGTTTCTCTGATTCAGTATATGGTAATGTTCAAGCTTGGGTTATTAAATGTTCTGAGTCTTCTAAAAATAACAAATTAAACTGAACACGATCTCTCACGCTGTCCCCCTCCACACTATGGCGAACACCTCTGTTACCAGGGAATATTAGTTCGTCATTATTATTCGTATCACCTTAAAAACATCCTAACCTAAGGACGAAATTCACTTGCTGTAGTAACTGAACCTCGAGTAAACGTACCACGGCACTATGAACTTTTTAACGTCGTGTCGTAAATACCAGAATCGTTCGTCGTATTGCTTCACTCAGCGTCAGTGTGTGGTAGGTGATGTTAGTTCTCACAGCCAGGCGTCATAAGGCCGAGAGTCGTGTGGTTGTGGTGCTCGAGGTAACCCAGTTGCTATATTCTGCATCCAGCTGGACCAACACATGCACTTTATTTATACTTTGCTGTCGCCCCACTTGGAGTTATTTAGAGCCGTGAGGATGTTTTCTGGTCCACTTACCTCATGTATGAAGGATTATTATTGTTTAGCATTTCTGCCCGGGGATGTAGTAATCTCAGTGGACACTCTTCTACCATCTTCACAACGCTCTATAAAACACAATATATCACAGTTTTTCCCTATTTTTTTGCTGTCAGGTTGAAGCTTTTGTTTATTATCACTTCTTAAATCGTAGTAAAGTTATGTGTAAAGTAATGTTCAGTCCACCCGGATGTTTAGAACAGTAAACATCAATTCAGTGTTTATTGCCATGAACACTGAGTCTTTTTTAAGGACTTCAGTGTGAGAAAGTGTTTGTCTTATTCCCGATGTTCTATTTTATATTGAAGAAACAGTTATCTTCCTGCTTTTAATTTGCATTTGTTGATTTATAATTTGATAGCGAGCAGATGTTAAGACGCTATCAGACGAGTAACTACCATAATTCACTCACTGTCTCATTTGGGCGAAGTCATCTCTGTTCCAGTGTTTGCCCGAGCTGTCACCTTCGTAACCAAACACCGTAAAGGCTTCGTCAGTTGTACCAGTGTTCTTATGAAGCTTACGGACGAAACAGTTAGTGTGCGTAACTCATTATATATGTCTTGGTATATTGTGTAAGTGATCTGTGTGTTGGGAGTAAAATTTTCATTGTAATAATTAAAAAGGGTATCTTATCTCTTCAGCCTATATACACTGTGTACATTATACTGTAGGTGTTATATAACATACCAAAGCCGTGCGCAGAGATCACGGAATTTATTAATATAAACACATGTACAGAAGTTAAATTGATTGAAGGTACGAACAAGGAATACTGTACAGCCCAGTATTGCACAGCGGTACGCCAGGCACAAGGTCCAGCTATCAAAATAATTATGTACAAGGGGCCACCATGCTCACTACGTAGAAAAGATACAAAACCCCAGAGTTCGGCGGCGTCCTCGTCCACCTTGTGTACTAAGCCACCTGGGCGAAAAATAGCCACCGCTTTGCAGTATCGCTACGATGCTATTTTGGGCGCGCAATTCTTGGCCCGTTTTCTCTCTCCGCGCCATTCAGGCGGTGGCGCAGAGGTGGCTACGAGCTCTCTAGTTATTTCACTGCCACTCTGGGAAGATGTTCAGTCTAACTGTTTAAGGTTGTAATTAACAGAGAAATGATTTAGATAAGTGAAATATATTTCCTTCGGTCTGAAGATACAACACAGCAGAAAATGTATACATTTCAACGCAAAGAAAAGGGTGACTAAACCTTTCTCGCACGCGCGCTACCTGACTATTACAATTTTAGCAACAAAGTCTCTCACTACACATATACACACACACCCTCGCAAGGTGGAAACCTACAGAAGTGTACGGGACCCGGCAGTGCCTGCTTTCAAGCGCCGGGTTCCTCTTCCCAAACTGGAAGAGTTTTTTGTCAATCTCCAAAAGTTGTTGGTGAAAAGAATACATTGAATGCCGAACATACGGTGGTGGTGTTGTGGTCCGTGGTCCAAGAGTTGTTGGCCGCAGGTGTGCACGGCGACATTTGTAGTGACACGGAAGTATTCTGCTGTAGCGGGAATTATCTGAGGATTGACAGGGCTCCATTGAGTTGACCGGAGAGGCGAGGCGGATGAGTTGCGTTAGCCGCATATCTGAGGATCATCTGGGTGTTGCCGCCGCTGTCACCCGCACGCGGTAAGTTGACCCCTGGCACCAGTAAGTGTTAATTAATGCCGCTTCTTAATGTATAGAGTTATATAATATTTCTTATCAACCTAAAATGTGTATGGTATTATTACTTAATATTATTTTTCTTTATTATTTTCATAAATTGGTACAAATTATCGAAGTTTGTTTACAATTAAATGAGATCACAGATTAATTATGAGAAATTTATCACAAAGATTTTCTGACATCTAATTTGTTCCACATTTTCATTCTCTCTGACCATCATCACATTCTCTCTGACCATCATCACATGTTATTAAAATGTCCTGGATTTAGGAAGTTTTTTTATTTATATAAACATAGTAGTGATGACAGGCTGAGAGAAATGTGTGGAGGTAAGGGTCTATTTAGGGCCCGTGGTGCCGCACACACACACAGCGCGCGCCACCCTCCAACTATTCTTAAAACAGTGAGGTATAAATCTTAACTCTTTGTCCTATCGCCTCCACTTATATAATACTGGAGACAAACACACGTTCATGTAGCTACTCCCTCCTTAATACCTTCACTTATTATAATACATTAGTTGCTTGCCGTGATACAGGTTCGACTAACACACACTCGCCACACAAATATCAATATTAATACATTTATAAGTTTTGATACAACTCTCTCGTGAATACATTACGTCACGGAACCAGAGACAGAAGAGACAGTGTGTACAGTATCTCTCACACCTATTGACTGACTGTCTCACTGAACCTTCCCTTCTCTCGCTCGTAAGGCGCTACAGGGAGTGCCGTCTGCCTACAGTAAACATATTCAACAACATAATTAACTTTTTGGATATTTTAAACGATTATTGATGCTTTAAATATTGACCTTTATTGATTTTTTAAACAAACATTCATACATACATACATACAAACATAGACAAACATACATACAAACATACATACATACATACATACATACATACATACATAGAGCACTTAGGGAGAAGCACTCGTAACCTATTGTTCCGACCACTACCTCCCCTGGGCCACCACTACCTCCCCTGGGCCACCACTACCTCCCCTGGGCCACCACTACCTCCCCTGGGCCACCACTACCTCCCCTGGGCCACCACTACCTGCCCTGGGCCACCACTACCTCCCTGGGCCCACACACTACCTGCCCTGGGCCACCGCTACCTCCCCTGGGCCACCACTACCTCCCCTGGGCCACCACTACCTCCCCTGGGCCACCACTACCTCCCCTGGGCCACCACTACCTCCCCTGGGCCACCACTACCTCCCCTGGGCCACCACTACCTGCCCTGGGCCACTACCTGCTACTAAACTGTATACCCATCGCTACATGTATAAAGTTTTACCGCTTATTCATGTTACATCGTGTGCGTGTGTGTGAAGGGAGGGAGGGAGGGAGGCAGGCTGCTAAACTACCCTATTGGGTTAGATCAGGTTATAGGTTAGGTTAGGTTAGATCAGGTAATGTTAGGGTAGGTTAAGTTAGTGTGTGTGTTTGGTTTCATTAAGAGTCACAACAGACACTCGTCAACACACTCGACACTTAGGTTAAATAATCCCACAAGTTGCTTCATGACGCGGCTGCACATCAACTTGTTATACTGTACACACTACTACGACTCTTGGCTAGATCATTACCTAAATACAAATCACTTAAAATATATCAGTATTTATTATTATATTATTAATCCCAAGTTCTCCTAACAAAGGTCAAGTTAACAGGTCAACAGGGCATGTATCAAATCCATATGAATGATGGAGTCTCGAACGCTAGTGTGGGTAACGTTAGGATGAAACCAGTTGCGTCAAAATATTTATTTAATGAATGCCTTAATTTCGCCTTTGATTCATAATTATCTCATTCATGAGGTCATATTTTTTTCATTATTAAAATCGTCATCATTGGTGTTGTTTATAATATTATATGGTATGATAAGTTTGTGGAGAACCCGATAACGACTCTTAGGTTGTGTATTTACCCGAGTGGTGTTAATTTATTTGATTTGTGCTTTAATGTTAATTATTATTTCAAGGGACTAAATAAATGGAGTTTATAATAAAAAAAAACTCAAATACTTGTCTCGTATATATAACCCGTCCAACAAAAACCAATTACATCATACATAAATGAATTTATACAACAATTTTAATACAACCTACTTATTCGGCTCACTTGATCCGTCCAAAGTACAGCCATACAGTATATAACAAATACAACCCAATTTACCCAAATAACCATACTAGTGACCCGTCCATCCTCCCTTGCCGGCAATTACCTCTTGCAGCCGTTCAGGAACTGACGCCACATGACTGTAAATAAGTTCGAGTTTCCTTGGGACCACCTCGCCTTCTCTTTGCACATGTTGTATTAACTGGCGAGAGGTTCGCTCTTGCTCTGGCTCTCACACATTGACGATGTTCACCCAAATATTTTCAAATGGGTTTAGATCGCAAGATTTACTTGGCCAGACGAGACGATCCACATTTTTCTTTGATCTTGAAACCAGCGAGTTACTGCCCTGGCTGTGTGTATTGGACAGCTGTCGTGCATGAAGAGGACTCGCTCTGGATAGGGAAGAGCATATGGTCTAACAGATGGCAGCATTACTTCCTCCACGATCTCTATACTATATACTTCTCTGCTGTAAACCTGCCTTCTATTTCTACCAGCTCTCGAACGCCGTAGAGGTATACCCAGCCCCACGTGTTGGTCGTGACGTGACCGCTTCTCGCCACCTCCAAGATACTCTCTCGGGCATACCTGATTTGGAAATGATAACGAGCATTATAATTATTCATGTGTGGAGCATGTAAAAATACATTAAAATTATACACACAGATGTATTACTGTATTATTTAAGACTAAGTTTAGGGACAGTAATATTAACATTGAAAGCTTCAGCACCACGTGTTGTTTCTCCTCCAACAGTGTAGTTTACCCTGGGAGCTACAGCAGAAGCTTTTTTCGATGGACCAGATGACACGCCCCCAAAAGTCAGTCCTTCATTCTCATGCTCCAGGGCAAATCTTAGTCGATTTTGACGGTGTATCTCTGTTAGCCGTTCCTTTGTTGCTGGTGTTCGGTGATGTATTCCAGCCTTATCGAGCCTCTATTGTACAGTCCTTGGTGTCACATTAAGTTGAATGTCTTGTATAACAACTGCATTCTTAAATGGGTTTTGGTCTGCAGCTTGATGTATCATTTGGTCTTGAACTGGAGTTGTCTTTCTCGGGGCGCCTGATCTATGCCGACCTACCAGATTTTCCTCTTCAGCCCACCTTTTCAACCATCAATAAACAGTTTTCGGTCAATTCCAAGTTCTCTTGCTATATCAGCGTTGGTAAAGCCACCGTCTCTCAAGCGTTGGTAAAGCCACCGTCCCTCAAGCGTTGGTAAAGCCACCGTCCCTCACACCAACGATTCTTCCTCGTAGATCAACCTTGGCCTCACGACGATCCATTTTCAAGGCTCGGTGCTGGACAGACTGAGGCAACCACGGGACCGCAGCCACGATTTCGCGTCATATCTTTTTGGTGTGAGAATCAGTGCTATTCGAATGAAGTGTTTTGAACACTTCGGTACCCTACAGGATCCATATGCCAGACAGAGAACACTATTTCCTGTTCCATATTACTAGTGTCATATTTGTTTAATGAAACGCGAGGCTCAAGAAATCCTAAAAAATACAGTAATGGATTACTACGGCTGCCAGGTAACACAGACAACAGTCACGGGAGCATGTTGGGCTTACGTAAAGATAAGTTCCCAATGGGATTAATGATGCCGACCATAAGTCACGGATCAATTTGCCGACATTTCTTAGGAGTGAGAACAACGTCATGTCATGTCACGTCAGCCAGTCTAAGCATGACAGCTGTCTGACCATTATGCGCTAGCATGGGAGAACGCTACATCCACCGGCATTACTGATAATATGTTCTTGGGCAAAAATACTTTTAGGATATCATGTGTAACTGATTCTGGGTTCTTCCAGCATCTGTTCCCCATTTACTTTAGTTCAAGTCAATGTTATTGGTGCAGGTGACCGTCACGGGGCACCTGTGAGAGGTGCCATATTAACCGTTAGAGCTGTAATATTATCTATTATATTTTCAGTCAATATACTGTATGCTGTGTTTATTAATCTTTCTAATATTATATGGAGACAAACATTCATATTGTGGCAAATATATAGTTATAATTATGTTAATTGTTTAAAATAGTGCATGATATTTTGGAGCAACAGGTTTCACCCTAACGCTGCCCACACTAGGGTTCGAGACTGGTTCGTTCATAGGGGTTTGGTACGTGCCCTGTTTACAACTCAGAGACTTTCTGGATGTTTCCACTGGCCACAGTCATGTGGGGCAGAATATTCTTCCACAACTGTACATAAAACAAAATAAGTAACAATAATATTAAGTAAGGACTGAAGGTCCAACAAGATCACACAAAATCAATATCAAGTAAAACAAATCTTAATAGTCAAATGCCAACTCTCAAAACACCAGAGAGAGAGAGAGAGAGAGAGAGGGAGGGAGGGTATACTACTTAACTTATAGACAGCTGTGCCTAGACTGACTACCAACCGCTCACCGACGTCATCTCTCTACCGCCAAGTACTGACGGAACATATCCTGATTGGCCAAAACGTAAACTTTATCTAAATTCCCCTACTGACATTATTTCCACTATCTAACCTATATACAAACATAATACAATCAATACACGTGAGAGACAACTGCTGCATTAATAAATACACAAAGTGATAATGTAATAAGACAAATTTAATTCATAAACGATGGCTCAGTCAGTGTGGGCGAGTGATGAGCGAAACAACTGGAGCTGAGCCCACACCATCCTAACCATCGTGTTTCATACCCAGAACAGAAACTTATGACGGACACGCGTAACAACACACACACACCATTAATATTTCCCCGTAAATAAATATTAATGAATACACGGAATTATTTACAATGTGGCAGTCTTTTAGT